AGGAGCGAAAGGTAGAATGTTAGAGAGGGCGAAGATCATCGTAAATGAGTTGGAAAATGATCCTAGAATAATATATATATATATATATATATATATATATATATATATATATATATGAACTTTATTTCAATACATCATGAGCTTCTGATACTTAGCTATGATTAATTAATGATGAATATGTCATTTCCGTTTATGTTCGATTTCATCATTATTCATCTGTTAGTTTAGAGAATAATTATACATACTTATTGCTCAAAGTAGAGTCCATGATGTGTACAAATTTCAGTAAATTATCTATTTCTAAGGTATAACTGTTCTGAGCATAATATCACAATTGGACAATTTTGCTGATTTGGCACACACACACACACACACACACACACACACACACACATATATATATATATATATATATATATATATATATATATATATATATTATTTTTCAAGTTGCATCAAATATATCTTATATCATGCACGGCATGCGGACACACTACATCGTTTCCCGTACAATCACCGAAGTTAAGCAACGTCGAGCCTGGTCAGTATCTAGATGGATGCATGCTTGAGAATACCAGAAGCTGTAAGCTTGGATGGGTGTTGCGGTGGAATGCATAATGGCTCAGAATTGTTAACTGGAGAGCCGTGTTCCAATTTCAGTTGGGTTCGTTGTATTTACTTACGCGCAGAACAGCCTTAGGAATGTGTGTTGAATCCGCCTCGTCTCTGTCTAACGTGTGTCACGAGACAAGCTTGCGAAACATTAAACAACGTAAAAGTCCCCGAAAAACGATTTTCTCAGTGTAGCTTTGCTGCACTTAAGAAATCGTTTTTGAGCCTTTCGAGCAATTTTGTCTCGTTAGATTAATTACGACTGAGTACATTCACTGTGTGTTCAATACGTTCGGTCCTGTGTCGCAATTAACGTACGCTAAAAAAAACTGCCATGTTTGTTTAAAGTACTGTGAAGTGGAATGTTTCACAAAAGATCGTTTAATTGCCAATCGATTCGAACTTTATAAAATGGTAAATAGTATGGATTTCATTATAGAATGTTTACATATTTTAATAATTTATAAAACAAATTATAAATGTATGAATAAAAATCGTTTTTATATTTATTTCTTTATAAACTGGTAAACGATATTGTTGTGGATTCCGGGTTGAATTCCAGTACCAATAAATAACAAACGCCAGGAATGAATATATGAAAATAATGTATTAACGTAATAATAGAAACTGGTAATGCAGGTTAGTAGTTCCAGGAATACGGGTTAGTAGCAAAATATATATATATACAGTCTTTGGTATTGAAGTATCACTGTATGACTTCTTAATGAGTCTACGTGCTCGCTCACTGTGACTCCTATAACGCTGTTACCTCACCCCTCACTCTTCCGGTTACCTACAACCTTTTACTCTGTCACTCTGGACTCGACTCGACCCTTCGGTCTTGCTCTCTCGGGTCTTCACGTAGCCGTAGTATATGTATATACTGGGTAAGTCCATTTCTGTAAAAAGGGGCGGACCCCTCAACAGATATATTGCATTAATTTTATTTTGTATTCGTTTTTAGAATGATGTAAATCTAAAATTATTCTTGTATAGAAACAATGTAATAAATAATATTTTTTTTGTAACTTTCCAGTAACAAAGAAAATTTATAAATTTACATTCATCAGTTTAAGTTTATTGTAATTCCAATAATTGCTTTTTAAAACAATAAACATTGCTGAGGTGTGAAGGTAGTTACGATAGAAGCGGTGTCATGGGGGAAAATGTCTTTTTCGCACTTCGTTTATTTTTTACGGGAACAGAGGTCAAGTTTCCCGAAGACTATCCACAAAACGTGCTGCTATAGAGTGCAACTATAATAAGATGTTGTAGAACTAACATTAATATGTTAGTAATAAGGGAGACTTTATCTTCTCAGCTTATTGTAAGAGAAAGCAACAATAATAAGAGTTGTGTTGGATTTGTCAGGATAATGTAAGTTTGTCTGGGAAAAACATAGAGTATTAGTTTGAATAAGGAACGTGTGAAAATCGAATCAGTCGCTTTCCTGTCTCTAGTTCCGTGTTGTTGCTCATCCATTTCTTTGTATGAGTGCCAAGTTTCAATGGCCAGGTTCTTGATATGAAATCATTTTGAAAAGCAGCCAGAGATACATTCCTTCATCTTGGACAGCTTCAGTGTCGATCGCTGTCTTTAAGTGACAATTTTCAGAAGGCGTACTGGCGGGAGGAATATCCGTCCGGGTTTGATGCTTATATAGTCAGGAAATGGGCTAGTGGAGAAAGAAAACGAAGAAAAACAAGGAAACAAACAATACCAATGACAAACTAAAAAAAAAAAAAATGCCGGGGCTATTGATAAAGAAACAGACGGTAAAAAAGGCGGGAGTAAAGAGGTTGTTATTTAATAAATGTTAAATAGTTTGGCACAGTGCCGACAAGTTATGGGCACTCGGTGAGAATTGATTTCACTGTAAATTTGCTGATCATGACACGATGGAGAGGCGCCGGGGAATATATGTTGAACAATGATGGCGCAGCTGACATTTAGTAAAGTGCATATAAATAGAGGAAAATGAATGAAAGAAAAAATTAAAGATGGCAGAAAAGAAAAAAGAAGGATAGAAAGAATTATTATAAGACCTAAACAAATATAAGAAAAACAAATATAATGATGCTAAAGAATATGAAGTTAGCAAGGAAGAAAAACAAAGAGAGTAATTTACAATCGCCTGAGGAGACGCATTGTTATGTGTTGAAACACGATTGCAATTGTGTAGCGATTCTTGTATATTTTTGTTGTAATATACTAATATATATATATATATATATATATATTTATTTATATATATATATATATATGTGTGTGTGTGTGTGTGTGTGTGTGCAAATATATTGAAAAATAGGGAAGAACACGTTACGTAAATAATCCGAAGTCCTTTAGTATTTTTGTTTTTATTTTTAAAAGCAGTTCTCAATACAAAAGTAGAGCTTAAATTGTAATTATATTTTTTTTTTTAAATATGATTCCTTCGCAACATAAGTGTTCTCATGTTTCAAAAACGAGAGCCAAAGCCATCAATATAATTATTAAAATTAAATTGAATTAAAGTATGAAGCTCTGTTTAATCCTCAAGCGAAATTTTTGGAATAACTAATATTGAAGTTCACGCATCTTTATAAGCAGATTCATTCGTAACATTAATTACTATGGAAACGGCTGAAGAAACCTGTCCAATAAGGTGCGTAAGGGTTAACAATACATATATATATATATATATATATATATATATAGAGAGAGAGAGAGAGAGAGAGAGAGAGAGAAAGAGTGAGAGAGAGGTAAATATCCGTGGCTAAGTAATCAAAATGAATCCTATCCATATAAAATATTAAAACTGATTCACAAAAGAGATCCCAATATATTTATTATAGAGTATAGAAATGAATTACATAAAAGCATAAAAATGAACCTTAAATGTACCCCATTTTTATGGCCATTTCACTCCTGGGAATAAATTCCCTGGAGATTGTCAATATTAAAACGTTTGGTAAAAAAAAAAACAAAAACAACAAATACATTGTCAAAAGTTTTAGTATTGACAAGAAGCTCCTGGGAATGTATCCCTAGCAACGAAATGGCCATAAAATGGGGTATAACTGAGTTTTATTTTTATGTAATTCATATATATATATATATATATATATATATATATATATATATATATATATATATATATATATTATTAGTAGTATAAAGACAACGTGAATAAGAAAACCGCGAATCAGTTCCTGACAACTCCTAATAAGTGGGCTGAAAATTACAAAAAAAATCACGTACGCGTCTAGATGCTGACTATAATATTAACCAGTTACGTGAAAACTTTTATTTCATTATATATATATATATATATATATATATATATATATATATATATATATAATATATATATATATATATATAATACTAATAATCTTAGAAATATAAGCAGTTATACTCGTCCAGCAAAACCTTTGGTGTTTTAGCTTCTAAATGAACAAACGTATACCTAAGTGAAAAAAAAAGGTGAAAAAAAGAAAGGACTAAGAACATGTACTTCCGGCGAAAATAATCGTCTAGAATCTAATTTCACAGTCCAAGGTAAAAAACCTCCGATATGAGTAAAATAAAAATAACTAAGCAAAGTGCTCAATACGCTAAGTAGAGCAAACTAAGTAAACCTAAAGAGTAAACACACGAGCCGCGTAGTTAAATTTCTAGCTTGGTTTTTCTGGCTCTTTATATATTATGATATATATATATATATATATATATATATATATATATATAGATAGATAGATAGATAGATCGATCGATAGATAAATAGATAGATTTTTAAGGAAACGATTTTATTTCATCTGGATTAACTGAGATATATTCATGTTAAATCGATTTGAATACAAACACTGAGGTGTTGACGCATTTTGAGACATGTCCATCTCAATTATGACCAATCTTTGCTAGGTTAAATCGCCCAATAAGCATTAATATCGAACGTTAATAACATAAGGGATTGCTTTAATCTCAACTATATTCTTGAAAGGAATCACATAAAATGACCAAATCGAAAACCAATCAGCATAATATAGGTGAATTGCGTCGCATCTTGGAATATCTAATCAGTATATTCTGACGTTTTTTCATCTTATGCTTCCATAAAGATTTGTTGAGAAAAAAAAAAAAAACTTTTACCATTTGCCAGTCGCCCAGGCATTTGCCTGTACGCTCGTAGCTATCGTCTGTGTTGCAAAAGTAATATTTATACAGTGAGCATGCGCTTTGATAAAGTACAGTTGACTGCAAATTTTAGGCGGGAAAAATGTGTCGCCAGTTACTAGGAATTTAATTTCTCATGGGAAATCTGGGGAAGCGAAGTGTTGGGGAGTGGGAAGATATGAATGTATTTTTTATTTGTTTTGTTTTATTTTTGTTCTTTTTTGACGGAGTCGATGCAATTGATGTCATTGTTTCTTGCATTTTTATATAATTTTGTTCCATTCAATTTCCACTTTGTCCTTTCCTTTTTCTTTTCATTTTTTATTCCATTTCGTTTATCCTTCCTTTTTCGTTTTTCTTCCTTTTCGTTTTTTCTTCCTTTTCGTTTTTTTTTCGTCTTCATTTCTTCTTCATTTTCTTCTTTTTTTGTTTTTCTTCCTTTATGTTTTTTCTTCCTTTTCGTTTTTCTTTCTTTTAGTTTTTCTACTTTTTCTTTTTTTTCTAAAGTTTCAATTTTCTTCTTTTTTGTTTTTTCTTCTTTTTCGCTTATTCTACCTTTTCGTTTTTTTCTTCCTTTTCGGTTTTTCTTTCTTTTCGTTTTTTCTACCTCTTCATTTTTCTTCCTTTTAGTTTTTTCTACCTTTTCATTTTTTTTGTAACGTTTCTTTTTTCTTCCTTTTCGTTTTTTCATCTTTTTCGTTTATTCTACCTTTTCGTTTTTTCTTCCTTTCGTTATTTCTTCCTTTTCGTTTTATCTTCCTTTTCATTTTCTTCTTTAACTTTTCGTCTTTTCTTCCTTTTCGTTTTTTCTACCTCTACATTTTTTTCTTCATTTTCGCTTTTTTTTCTTTTCGTTTTTCCTTCCTTTTCATTTTTCTTCCTTTTCGTTTTTTTTCCTTTTAGTTTTTTCTACCTTTTCATTTTTTCTAACGTTTCATTTTTTCTTCCTCTTCGTTTTTTTGTTTTTCGTTTTTTTTTCATTTTCGTTTTTCTTCCTTTTTGTGCTTTCCTTCTTTTTTTCATTTTTTCTTCCATTTGCTACATTTAAATCTTTCATTTTTCTACATTTCTTCATTCCACATTATTATTTTTCTTTTTTATTACTTGTCTACATTTCATTTTTTCTCTCTTCTTTCTTATTTATTCGTTTTTTTTTGTTTTGTTTTTTTGCATATTCTTTCTTTTTACTTCTTTCTTTTACTTCTACTTCTCTTTTGGTTTTCTTTTCCGTCTCTTATTATTATTTTACTTTTTCTAATTTTCTATAATATCCCTCTTTGCTCCTTTTTCTTTATTGATTTTTTAAATTTTTTCTTAATTTTCTTTTGTTTCATTTTTCTTTTTTTTCTTATTCCTTTCCATCTTTGTTTATTCTTTTTTTCTCCACTTTCTTTCTTTCCCTTTTTATTTCTGTACCACATCGATTATTCTTTTTGATCTTTTTTGCATTCTTTTTTCTTATTTTTCATCATTTTACTTTTTTTCCTTTATGTTTTAGATCTCTTGATTTTCTTTACATTGTTTTCTTCCATCCTTTTTCTTTTCTTTTTTTTCTTTTTCGTACTTTTTTTTCAGTCACTCCTAATGTCTTTTATCTTGTAATATTCTTTCCCCATTTTTCTCCTTCGTTTTATTTTCACGTTTTCATATATTCTCTCCATTTCCCTTTCTTTTTCTTCTTTTTTGCTATTTTCTCTTCATTTTTTCTTGTGTTTCTTCTTCCTTTTCATCCTTTCCCTTTTTTTGGCATATTTTTCTCTTATCCGTCTTTGCTTTACTCCATTTTCTTCTTTTTATCTTTTCTTTCTTCATCTTCAATGATGCTATCTTCTTTTACTTCTTTTTCTTTTTTTTCTGTTTCTTTTGTTTTCTTCTTCACCATTCCTTCCTTGTTATACTTTTGACTTCTTCACATCGTTTCTTATTTTCATAATATCTTTTCATTTTTCTTTCTTTTTCTTCTTTTTTCTTTTTCTTTTTCGTAATGCTTCCTTTTTTCTTTTGTCTCATTTCTTTCATTTCAAATCTTCTTGCTTAACATGGTGTCCCACTTTTCCTCCACTTCCTCCCACCTCACTTCATTTTAGTTTTCCTCTGCATTTCCGTTCAATTTCTTAAATAAAATTAAAGAAAAACTTTCTTTCACATCTTACGTTAACTCTTTTAAGCCTTTCAATAATCATTATACGTACACACAAACACACACATATTTATTTAAACATATATATTCTTAATATACTGTTAATAATTGATGGAGAATATTTTTGTTTATATGTCCGTATAACAGACTCTGAAGATGTCTCATGTGAGCCGAAGCTTAGATCAAGGAAAAGCTTTATAAAAAATATCCAGATGTTGGACAATTTTTGTTTTTATTTTCACTCGAATTTAAAGAAAATATACAGAGTTTAGAACGGCTCATGATCAAACATAATAGACATTTATTGTTATATTTAGATAATGATCTGCTGCTCAATGCACTAAATATATATATATATATATATATATATATATATATATATATATATATATATATATATATATATATATGATACTAAAACTAAAACGCAATTTTTTAGTGGATACTCATATTTGAGTAGACGCTCGGTTTATTTATTAAGCAATATATTTATTTACTTTCGTCTTCCGTCCTGAATATTTTAATAGATTTTTATTGAAGGAACTATGCTGTAGGGAAAACCGTGCTTTAAAAATAACTCTTATGTAATAAAATCTCTCCGATTAATAAATAAAAATATCCACCACTTCTTCAGGAATTGCTTTGTTTACGCTAGGATACGAAACAGAAGGTATGTATATTTCGAGATTCAGGGTAAAATCAGCATTGAAAGGGATTACTCGAAACTCCTTGATCATCTATGCCCTTCGTGATCAAGAGCTCTAAAGCACATCGGGTATAATGTGTTCCCCTGTCACGGGGAATGCAGCTTCCAAATCTGCAGCTTAGCGTTTTCTCTTTCTAAAAACTATACATTCTGTCTTTTCTCTATTGATAGTCCTTTCTTCCCATTTTCTTTTACACTATAATATAGGAATTCCGCCATTTTTCTTTCGATGCCTGCCATGAACACGCTGTGATCTGCGTATCTTGGACGTATTTATATATTAAATATATCTATCCATAATATCGGAGATTACATATGCTATTTTTGTTTCCATTTGACTTTAAATAATTATTGTTGTTCAAATGTTCCATCAATGGTATTCTCATCATCCTTCTGTATAGTCATTTCTCTTTGTATCACGGGTTCCATCCATGATATTCCCAGCATCCTTCTGTAGAACCATATCTCTTTGTTCACAGTGTTCTCAGCATCGTTCTGTAGAATTATATCTGTGGTATCTCCTTTTCATCTGTGAGAAAATTCTCCAAAATTCACTGCCAAACAGAAGAATTATCTTTATCAAGTTCAGCGTCTTTTGATTTGCTTTTTCATAATAGTTTTTGGAAGGCATCTTTCGCTATTACAACGCGCTGTACGGTTTTTCAATTTTTATCCTTCGTCGAAAAAGATTCTGTTTAAAATTAAATATATGAATTTGCGTTGTTTTGATTTCTAGGTTATTTACATTATTTAAAAAAGTCGGACTGTTAACCTGATCTTCATTGCCATATTCAAAACATTTCAGCCGTTGTACGTTCTTCTTCAGGTGATTGAAGGAGGCCGTAGCGTTCAACCGCTAGTCATATATATATATATATATATATATATATATATATATATATATATATATATATATATATATATAAAAAATAAAGAAAAGTTCTCCCAGCATGCAACAGAAACTTCTCCTGCTGGAAAACAAACTTCCTGCCAAAAGACGGTGAACACAGTCTCTTCGCCTCTGACGGTTGGAAAGTAAAGACGTCCAACCCTTCTCTTGGGGACATTGCTTGTGATAATACGAAGTGACTTCTTCCTTTTATCACATGCAGCCTTGGAAACACTTGTAATTAAAAATACAGACACGCAGACACACACACACACAAAACTAGTACACACAAAATAAATTATATGATTTTAATTTACGATTTAACATGCTTTTAGTGTTATTTCTGTGTATGTTTTTTTTGTGTATGTGACCACGAGCCTATCCCTGTGAGTATGATGAGAAAAAGATCCCAGACGATCAACACGAATCCTGTTATGCTTATCCAATAGGGACATATATATATATATATATATATATATATATATATATATATATATATATATATAGAGAGAGAGAGAGAGAGAGAGAGAGATAAACCCTAGTGAGCCAGACAAACCTACCCATGATTTACCTGAGCGGATCGTCAGGAAAAGCTGGCTAAAGAGGCAAAAAGAGAAACGCATATTTATAGGCGATAGTCAAAATTATACCACGTGACCAAAAATAAAGAAAAACACAAGAACAACGGGTTAAAGATTTATTCAACAACTAAAAGGGGAGGGGATATTAAAATACGAACATAAAGGTGGAATGACAAAATAAACTGGGAAATTCTTCTTTAGTAACCAAGATTTTTTATGCCTACATATGTTAAGAATTTCAGTTTCGGAGTTTAATAGCTGGTTAGGTTGATTATATAAAGCTATGGCTAATTTCTCCTCTGTACATAATTTACAAAATTTTTGGCCTGCTTTTTATTTGGGGCATATTTTTTTAATATATCCCATTTAAGGATGGGGTCTTTATCGTTTTCTTGTTTAGTTTTCTTTACATCGGTGGATAGCGTGGTACTATGTTTAGTTTTTTCGTTTTTAAAACTACTCGTGTGGTTATAATATCTTTTTTTAAATTTATCCTGAGTAGCACCTATGTATATTTTAGGGTTTGTATCCTTCATATCCTTATAAATTTTCACCTGGTAAACGACGCATTCTTGCTGACATTTTCCCTGTAATGGGCAGATATTTTTGTTCCTTCAATTACAACTAGAAGGGCTACTGCGTGGATTATCCCTAGTTTTTTTCTTATTCAATCCACTAATTAAGGTCCCTACGTTAGGCATGCAAAAGTAACTACGTTTTACATTATTCTTATTGAATATTTTATGTAACTCAGTTTTTTGGGGGAAATTTTGCTCTAATAAGTCAAAAAATATTTTGCCAATTTTTGTTTTTACCGCCAAATTAAAAGGAGGGTTAAACCATAAAATATTTCTCTGCCTATTGTTACGTTTGTTCTGAGTACTGTTACAATTGTTTATGTCAATATATTCTAATTTATTTTTATGTCCACTCTTAGATAGGGGTTCCTCATAAACTGTTTTATTGTCCTCGGAAATGCCTTTATTAGAGGAATGAGTTGAAATGTTTTTTGGAATATGCCTTATGATATGGGCTGGGTGATTGGATTTTACGTTTAATTATTGGGGCTCCTGGCTCTCTTTTCTATACGGGGATATAGTACCATTTTGTAAGTTCAACGTAATGTCTAAATAGTTAGTAATTTTCAGATTGGTTTCAATTCCAAGATTAAATCCGAATTTTCTAAAAAAAACAGTGTAGTTTTTTACGGATAGTGTCACATTTTGGGGGGTTACTCTTACCCACTATAATTAAACTGTCGTCGCGATACATGGATTTTTTTTTTAAATATTAGGGGCCCTGGTTCTCTTTTTTTAGGTAACTATACAAGATACTTACCAATATATATATATATATATATATATATATATATATATATATATATATATATATATATATATATTGGATAAGCATATCCATATAGTACGCAGTTATTCAATATATATATATATATATATATATATATATATATATATATATATATATATATATATATATATATATATATATATATATATATATATATATATATATATTGGTATATATATATATATATATCCCTATTGATATATATATCCAATAGGGATA